CTACCAGAGCAATAATATATGTTATGCAAAAGTTTTTCTTTGAATTTTTAGCTCATATATTTGAATTATTAGTCTTTTCCTTTATTGCCTTGGGTTTTGAGTCATAGTTTGAAAACCTTCCCATTCATCTCTCCGTCTAGCATTTGTATGGTTTTGTTTTCAGTCTTTTGAACTCTGAACCATGTGGGATTTCTTCTGGTGTATGGTGTTAGTTAGTGATCTAATTTCATCTGCTCAAAAGGCTACCCTGTTAGGCTCAACACCAGATTTTCAAAAATCCACCTTTATTCGTGTGATCTGAGATGCCACCTTTACCATATATGAAATCCCACATGCTCTTAGATGTGTTTTTAGATTTTTTAGTCTGATTCTCCAGTTTTTATACTCATATGCTAGTACCACCGTTTTAATTATAGAGGCTTTATATCTGTTTTAATATCTGAGAGGGCTAGTCTCCCCATGTATTTCTTGCTTTTTAGGGATTTGCTCCCTTCTTCCCCCACATTCATTTATTTACATATTGACAATGGTTGTTTTGTGCTACAATGATGCAGTTGGATATTGGGACAGAAACCACATGGTCAGCAAAAATTTAATTATTCATCATTTGACTTTCTATAGAAAAAGTCTAATATTCATCCCTAGTCTAATGGATGGAGTCCTGGTGTGGCGCTGTAGGATAATGCACCGGAACACAAGGTTGCCCATTCAAACTCACCAGCTGCTCCTCGGAAGCCCTATTCAAGGTCGCTATGAGTCAGAACCGACTCCATGGCACTTAACAACACACTTGCTTTATCATTTATCTGTTGTAAACATCAGTGCAGAAACTCTTGCTACCTAGTCAATTCCAGTTTATAACAACCTACTAGGACAGAGTAGAAATGGCCCCGGAGACTTTTCAAGGCCGTCATCTTTTCTGAAGCCGACTGCCAAATGCTTCTTTCACAAAGTGGCTGATGGGTTCAAACTGCTAACCTTTCAGTTAGCAATCTAGTGCTTTCCACTGTGCCATCAGGGTTCAGTGAGACCCCAGTACACTTCTCCTTAAATACTTAAGCATGCATGTTACTAACTTCTTGTTAAGTGACATCAAGTTGGTTCCGATCCATAACGACCCTGTATAGAGCTTCCAAGGAACAGTTGGTGAGCCTGAACTGCCGACCTTGTAGTTCAAACCAACTTTGCAGTCTAGCACATTAACACAACACCATACCAGCATTCATGTCACTAGCTGCAAGACAGTATTTCTCTTTTCCTGTGAATTTGACATAAAATGAAATTCACAAATCTAAAGGATACACTTGCTGACTTTGACAGTGCATTTTCCTACATACCTCCACCAAGATGTAGTGCGTGATTGTCACCCTAAAACATTCCCTCGTGCCCAGTCAATCCCCGTCACCACCTTCCAACGGCAATCGCTCTTCTGATCAATTTCCCCCTAAATGAGTTTTGCCTGCTCCAGAGTGTCCTTTCAGTGGAATTAGACTTCAGTCTCTGCTTCTGCACAATGCCTTTGAGGTTTTTGTTTGCTGTGTATGTCAGAGATTTGTTAAAATTTATTTTTTTTAACTGGTAAGATTCCCTTAGCTATTTTTGCATGCTTATTTTTCCTTATAGAGTCCCTTCTTTTTTAATAAGCGCTTCATTGAGATAAAATGTACATACCATTACAAATCATCTAGTGAAAGTGTCCAGTTCCATAGTTTTTAATATGTTTGTGGAGCTGTGCAGCTGTTGATGAAGTTATTTAATTAAGAACATTTTGCAACCCATACTCATTAGCTCTGGATTGAGAACCACAAAGTTAGCAGTTCAAGCCCACCAGCTGCTCCTCAGAAACAGGTCATTATGGGTTAGAACCTACTCAGCATCTGACAGTAAGAAGTCATTAACAGTCACTTCCCTGCCCCCAGCCCAGCCCCTGGCAAACATGAAGCTATTTTTTTGACTCTATGTATTTTCTATCATGGATAGTTTATAGAGATGGGATTATACAATATCTGCCTGAGTTGTTTCATTGTATATGTATGTAACTCTCCATGTAAGGCACAGAGTGGGTAATGAGGGACCAGTGGCCCTCTCTAAGTTTGTGCCCCCCAGTCCAAGCCTTGACAGTGTGTGTGTTTGCGTATGATATGATTAGAGGCTGGTCTCTCGAATACCCCCTTGGACTTGCACCCATGGGCAAGAACTCTGTGGGTCCTGCCCCCTTTGCTATACCTCTGAATTCTCACAGCTGTCCTGGGAGTTAGGTCCTCATTGAATCCCCTATTGATACATGGGGATCTTGCTTCCGAATTCATGAAATGTAGCCCTTCCTGTGGCCTGAGTTGCCCCAGACAGACCACCCTGGTTCTTGTGTTCTCCCACCAGGGGGTAGGGCTCCCAGGCCCCCTCTGGAGCTGACCAAGACTCCCCCAATCCGCCCCCACTGTAGGTGTACATGTTCCTGGTGAAGTGGCAGGACCTGTCAGAGAAGGTGGTCTACCGGCGGTTCACGGAGATCTACGAGTTCCACGTGAGTGCCCCGGGTTTGGGAGAGCATCCTAGTGTGGTGGGGTGGGGGCACCGGTAGAACCTGGAATATCCCCAGCCCACACCAGGACCACCTGGTGTTTCCAGAACATATTCACTCTGTCAGACTGAAGGTTTCATCCTGGCCTAATTGGGAACCCCTTTATTGTTCCCTAATTGGGAACCCCGTTATTGTTCCCTAATTGGGAACCCCGTTATTGCTCCCTAATTGGGAACCCCGTTATTATTCCCTAATTGGGAACCCCGTTATTGTTCCCTAATCGGGAACCCCGTTATTGTTCCCTAATCGGGAACCCCTTTATTGTTCCCTAATCGGGAACCCCGTTATTGTTCCCTAATCGGGAACCCCGTTATTGCTCCCTAATCGGGAACCCCGTTATTGTTCCCTAATCGGGAACCCCGTTATTGTTGCTAAGTGTTGTCCAGTTGTGACCCTGTATGAAGTATGAGGAGTGACGGGTGGCTTTGAACCACCAACCTTGAGGTTAGCAGTCCAGTGCTTATCCTATAGCACTACACCAGAACTCCAATTAGGACCCCTTGTTGTTGTTGTTGTTGTTAAGTGCCGTCAAGTTGACTCCGACCCTACTGGTGAGCTTGAACCACTGACCCTGCAGTTCAAATGACTTTGCAGTCTGATGCATTAGCCCACAGTGCCACACCAGGACTCCTTAGAGCCCCTGAATGTACTTTAAAAAACAAACAAACAAATCCAGACCACTTACTGAGGTGTCATTGCCGACATCTCATGTGTTTCCAAGTACAACTGCTCCACAGGGTTTTCAATAACTGTGATTGTTGAGAGGATGATCACCAGGACTTTCTTCTGAGGTGTCTCTGGATGTCTCTTGTTACCAACCCAGGAACTCTGACCATATCAAAAGAAAGGTTGATAATCCTGACACCCTGACACCTAAGAGCCAGGTCCTCTTGCTTTGTGGAGTCCCTGCATGGTGCAAAGAGTTAACATGCTCAGCTGCTGTTGGGAAGGTTGGAGGTTCAAGTCCACTTGGAAGCACCTCGGAAGAAAGGCCTGGTGATCCACTGCCAACAAGTCAGCTACTGAAGACTCTATGGAGTGCAGTTCTGCTCTGATGCACCTGGGGCACAATGAGGTGGAATTGTCAACACTGAAGAACTGTCTCGGCTCTCTCCGAGATTTACATGCGAAAACTCTGAGCCCAGCGTAGCTTCATTTTCATAGGATCCCTCTGCCTGCTGGGTTAAGACTAGACAAGTGGGAGAGGGGGGGCAGTGAAACATGTGAGGGGGCTTTCCTAATAACCTAGGCATGGACCAAGGGGATGGTAATGGCAATGGGGGGTTGGTGAGGAGGGTCAGATTCGTCATTGATTTTTGGAAGGAAGCTGAAAGGATTTGCTGGAGGCTTGGGTGTGGGGTGGGAGATAGGAACCGGGGAAGTTTCTGGCATGAAAGATGGGGAAGCAGGCTGTGGAGGTGATTCCAACTTTATGCTTCCACCAAGGTATGCTATAAAGAACATCCCTTTACATCTTCTTTTCTTTAATGTCTAGAAAATGTTAAAGGAAATGTTCCCTATCGAGGCGGGGGACATCAACCCAGAGAACAGGATTATCCCCCATTTACCAGGTGAGGGATGGACTATCACCTGGGTGGGCCTTCTATGTGGGTCCCTTTACCTACTGTCTCAGCAGACCTGGCCTGAAGAAATGTGCTGACGGTTCTCTCATGCCCCCCACCCTGCCCTCAGCCCCCCGCTGGTTTGACGGTCAGCGGACAGCTGAGAGCCGCCAGGGCACCCTGACCGACTACTACAGCGCCCTCATGGGCCTGCCCATCAAAATCTCTCGATGCCCCCACCTGCTGGACTTCTTCAAGGTGCGTCCCGACGACCTCAAGCTGCCCATGGACAGCCAGTGAGTGGTCACCTCCTCCTCCCTCCTCGGGCAGGGGAGGGCAGGAGGCTTCAGCACTGCAGGGAGGAGGTGGATACAGAAGCTCAGAGAGGGAAGGCCACTTTTCCTAAGTCACACAGCTGGACAGGAGTTAGGAGTATAATCACTGCTCAGACAGTCTCCACCTTGGCTCCCTGGGGCTGAGTCTGGGAGCTCTTGGGTACTGGGGGAACCCTCAGGACTGGGGAGGCTCTCAGGGCTTGGGGGCTCTCTCAGTGTTGGGCAGCTCTTTGGTCCTCGGTTCACATCCTGACCCATGGCTGGACCTTGGATCGTCTTACTGCCCTCTTGAAACTCAGTTTCTCCATCTGAAAGGAGGTGGTGGGACCAGAATGCTTACAAACTGTAAATGTGGAGCTCTTACACACCGCAGTGAGGCGTGCTGACATGGCCCTTGCCTGCCTTTGCCTCTCCCATCTTAGTGGACACCAGAGAGGCGGAGGGAGACAGGCTGGGCAGGCCCTGACCCTCCTTTGGCACCCAGGCTGCCACAGAGAGACAGACAGGGTTATTCCACCCTTCCTGTTGATGCTTGCAGAGCACCCTGTCTGTGTTCTCCTCAGGGGTGAGAGGAGGGGTGTGCCACCCCTTCAGGCTCCAGAAGGAGGAACAAGGGCCTTTCCCAAACCTCTGCTCCAGACGGTGTGCTCTGATTTTTTGGAAGTAGATTGCTGGGCCTGCCAGCCAAGGTGCCTCCGAGTTGAACGTTTTCACCCAGGGATGACTGTGACTCTAGCAAACCCACTGAAGGAGGGCCTACTGGTAGCGACTCCCCCAAGGCCCTCAGTGGGACCAGCAAGAAGACATTCCACTTCCTGGGCAGCGTGGGTTCTGCCTCGTCTCCAGGGTGCCCCTTCGTCTCACATGTTCCTTCTTCTCTTGGGAAGGTCGGCCTGTCTGCTGTAGGTCGGCCTGTCTGCTGTGGGTCGGCCTGTCTGCTGTAGGTCGGCCTGTCTCCGGCAGGAACCCAGTGTCTAACTCAGAGTGTTCACCTTCTCTTGCAGGGTGAAAAAGCCAGAGACATACCTAATGCCCAAAGACGGCAAGACTAATATAGCCGGTGAGCGCGGAAGTCAGGCAGGGCTCCGGCACAGGGTGTGTGGGGAAGTGCAGGTCACTGGGTGGATGGTCCTGGCCCCCACTCTAAAGAGGGTCTCTGCACAGTGAGGGGAGCTCCCTGGAGGAGACATGTTTCCTTCCCCAGCACTAGGTGGACTCGAACCACCAACCTTTCTGTCACAACTGAGCACGTTAACTGTTTGCACCACCATAGACCACTCAGCCTCTGGCTGGAGAGTTAATTCCAACTCACAGAGACGCAGCGTGGAACTGCCCCATTGGGTTTCCAAAGAAGCCCTGGTGGGACAGTGGGTTAAACATTGTATTGTTAATCAAAAGGTTGGCGGTTCCAACCCACCAGCTGCTCCTCAGAAGAAAGATATGACTGTCTGCTTCCATAAAGCCATACAGCCTTGGAAATCCTATGGACCAGTTTTAGCTTATGAGGGGGAATCGACTTGGCAGTCATAGTTGTTATGGGGTTGTTGTTGTTAACTACTGTTGAGTCTATTCTAACTCATAGCACCCTATATAGGGTTTCAGAGTGGTGGCAGGTGGGTTTGAACCGCTCACCTTGCTGTGAATGGTCCAGTGCTTGCTTATCCTACAGCACCACAACAGGACTCCTTTATAGGATTCCTAAGGCTTTGGTCCTTATGGAAGTAGATGCCACATCTGTCTCTCACAGAGTGATTGATGAGTTCAAACCTCCAAGCAGGTACCCCACCATACCAGGGCTGCTTTGGGACCTACTTGGTGCTAAGAGAGGAACTTGTTTCTGGTGTTTTACAGCTGACAGGGCTGGTGTGTCAGGGGCTGTCTTGGGGCTCCAGTGAGAACCTCTGGAGAGATCCAGGAGAACGAGCCCCTCCCACAGTGTGCACTCTTCTGCCCCCTCCACCCAGACATTACGGGACCCATCATCCTGCAGACGTACCGCGTCATCGCTGACTACGAGAAGAGCTCAGGCACCGAGATGGCTCTGGCCACGGGCGATGTGGTGGATGTGGTGGAGAAGAGCGAGAGCGGTCAGACCCCAGCCCAGCCCCAGTGCCCTAAGGCCCCTTCCACCCCGACCCCAGGACTCTGGCCTGAGGCAGACTCGGGCCACCAGGGGGCGGCAGAGGGTCTCTGTGTAGCTTCCACGGTGTGATTGCACCTTTATGGAGATTACACTTGGATGGCAGGTGTCCCTGAGCGTGATGTGGCTTCAGAGCGGACAGTTTGTGACTCTCTGTGTGATGGTTCTGAAGCTGGGAGTTTGAGCTGTATGCCCTTGCATCCCGAGACGTCCCCGATTTACCTTCTTGGCACAGGCTGGTGGTTCTGTCAGATGAAGGCGAAGCGTGGCTGGGTCCCAGCATCCTACTTGGAGCCCATGGACAGTCCTGACGAGTTGGAGGACCCAGAGCCCAACTACGAAGGTGCCCCACCCTTCACCCTGAAAGCCATGGCAGGGGGGCAGGAAGGGCAGAGGGCATCAATTCTGGCATCCAGAAGAGGTCTGACATAATTGTGCACTGGGCAGAGGGGATGTCAGGGCTGAGGCCTTGAGACTCAGGCCCAGGTGGGTAGGGGTGCCCTTGGTTAAGAGAGGTGGAACAGAAGATGGGGTGGGAGGGACAATGTCAGCCTGGGATGTTGGAGGCTGTGGGCATGGGGCCAGGTTAAATGGGAAGCCAAATGATGAGCCCAGAAACTGAGGCCCAGGAAGGAGGGCTTCCTGGAGGTGGTGGTATGAACAGTAAATCAGAGTTCCCCAAACAGACACAAACAGGTTGGATGGGCTCCACAGGTTTGAAACAAAATTAGACTCGCCACTGCTTTAGTTTCTTAGTGCGGCTGTAACAAAAATACCATAAGGGGGTGGTTTTAACAAACAGATATTTTCTTATGGTTTTGGAGGCTGGAAGTCTGAGTTCTCTCACTGACTCTGGGGGAAGGCTTTCTGTCTGTTGGCACTTGTCTCTTGCCAGTTTCTGTTCCTGATTCCTTGGAGATCATGTGGTGTGGCATCTGTCTCACCCCATCTCTGCTTTATCTGCTCATAGCTCAAAAGGGACATGCCCTTCACAGATATGGCCTCATTAACATAACAAAGGAAGGCCTATTTCTAAATGGGGTTAGAAGCTTCAATCCATAACAGCAGAGGGCACATCATGGAGCCAAGTGGGTGTGGGCCAGTTGAAGGAGGTATGTGCCCAGGCAGGAGAGCAGGGATGGAGAGCCCATTCATTGCTGGGCAGACCCTCACACCCCCTCCCTACCTCCTGTGCCTGGACCAGGTGAGCCTTACATCACCATCAAGGCCTACACTGCTGTGGAGAAGGATGAGATGTCCCTGGATGAGGGCGAGGCCATCGAGGTCATTCATAAGCTCCTGGATGGCTGGTGGGTTGTCAGGTAGGAGAGTGTCCCTCCATCCCCTCCACTGAGAATCAGTCCTGAGTTCTGGGCAAGCCACTGCCTTCTCTGGACTCCTGCCTGCCCCATGGTGTCCTTGTCTGAGGACATGCTCCTTACTGCCTGCCCCGTGGTGTCCTTGTCTTAGGAGGTCCAGTTTCCCTTTGCAACTCAGGGTTTTATCCTCTGACTAGTCTCTCTGTGAACACAGTAAATTGTTGAATCAATTCTTACATAGTTTCCATCCTTGATTTTTCTTTTACACATTTCATTATAATTTCCATCTGGTAAATCCCCTGAATGAATGAAAAAAATATTAATTAGTGTTATTATTTTTGTTCTGAGAGAAAACTAGTGGCACTGTGGGATAAGCACCCAACTGCTAACCACAAGGTCAGCAGTTCAAACCCACCAGCCACCCCAAGAGAAAACTAAGATTTTCTGCTCCCTTAAGATTTAGTCTCAGAAATGCTATACAATGGTGCTATGATTCATAATCAATTCAGTGGCAGTGAGTTGTTTTTTTTTTTTAATGTTTTATTGTGAATTATGTGATAGTTTACATGGGAGAACATTAGTTTTACATTCATCCCATCGTATACATTGTTCCATTGCCATGGTTACAATCTCCTCCATGCATCATCAACCAACCAAAGGGTATACCCAAAAGCCTCCCCCCTTGTGGTCAGCACACAGCCCCTCTCCCTCTCTGGATCTAGAGTCCCCAGCTGTTCCCTCTCAGCGTCATCATCTCTGTCTCCATCTCTGGCGTCACTGCTTCTCTGGGTAGGGCCCCGCATTCTGCTCTTCTCACTTGATGGTTCCAGGGGAGTTGTTTGTTTTTTAAAGTTTGGAAGGAAAACAGAGTCCCAGGGACTCCCCAGGCCATTGCTCCCTGGAGCAATGGGCCAGCCTGGGTCCTTGCTGGGTTCACATAGCTCGGGATCCCAGGCCCAACTCAGACCCTCAGCAAACTGAGGTTACACTCAGCATGATCCTTGGCTGGGAGACGTTGAAACAGTGCTTCTCATCTTTGTTGACCCACGTCTAGCTACCCACTATCATGCATCCCAAAGAATCAACTTGTGATTCTCCCATTTTTGTTGTTGCTGTTGTTAAGTGCCTTGGAGTCAGTTCTGACTTATAGCGACCGGTGCAGGATCTCCAAGGAGTGGCTGGTGGGTTTGAACCACCGACCTTCTGGTTAACAGTCCAATGCTTATCTTACAGCACCACTCCAGGACTCTTACACGTATTTTGGTGTTGGTAAATGCCATGGAGTCGGTTTTGACTCACAGCGACCCTGTATGGGTTTTCAAGGTTTTAAATCTTCCAGGGAGCTGAAAGTCTCATCTTTCTCCTGCTGAGCGGCTGGCCGGCTCAACTAAGGACTTTGTGGTTTGCAGTCCTGCACTTACAGTATGGAGCCACGGCATTTCCAAGCTCACACTATAGACAAACATTTTATTTGGAAAGAATCACAGGTTTTATTAAGTATAAAACCTAAAACACAAAAGCCTTCGGGAAGACATAGGAGAAAACTTTGGTGACTTGGAGGTATAAGGCAAAGAAAGATTTCTTAGGACACAGATGGTAATGTCCTTAAAAGAAAAAAAATTGACAAACATAATATTGTAGATATTTTAGGCCAAACACATCCTCTGGAAGATTTGGGTCGGCTAACTTCTTTCTCCTACACGATTTTAAAAGGAAGATGAGGAACGCTAGACCTGGGTGGCCCGGTGTTGTATAGAAGGGAAACTGAGGCCACAGGGGCTGCGTGTGTTGCTGGTCAGGTTGAACCCCACACTGCATATTGTCTCAAAGGTTGTGTCGATTGCAGGAAAGAGGACATTACAGGCTACTTCCCTTCCATGTACCTGGAAAAGTCCGGGCAAGACCTGGCCCAGGCCCGACGCCAGATCAAGAGCAGAGGGGCGCCGCCCCGCAGGTGAACGAGGGCCCCTGGGTCAAGCGGATCTGGGAACTAGGGGCACCACGGGCTCACCCCGTTGGTCCACACCCTGGATCTGCAGGGTGGAGCAGTGTGAGTTATCTGAGTGAGGACGCCAGTGCCCTGGGTGGGTGAGATGCGCGCAAAGGGCTCTGAAGTCGAAGGGCGTTGGTGGGTGGTAAGCAGGTCGAGGTCTGCGTCGGGGAGGGCAGGTCAGGGCCGGAGTCCGCATCCCGCCTCGCCATCCCTTTCCCCGCTTGCCCTCTACCGCCTCGGGCCAGCCTTTGGTCGAGATGCGGGGCGCCGAGAGGTGGACCGGGCTCTGATCCACGCCCCGTCCTGCCGCCCAGGTCGTCCATCCGCAACGCACACAGCATCCACCAGCGGTCGCGGAAGCGCCTAAGCCAGGACACCTATCGCCGCAATAGCGTCCGCTACTTGCAGCAGCGCCGCCGCCCGGTGCGGCCCGGACCCGAGAGTGCTGGGACCCGGCTGCGTGAGTGCGGGTGCCAGTGATGGGTTGCTCTAGGGGCTGGGCCTATGATCCAGGGGTGGGGCCAGGGTACTGTGGGGCGTGATTCAGAAACGGCCTCCCTGAACCGCAGAGCACTGCGGCCAAGCTGCTTGAGCGCCGGTGCGGGAGGGGGCGGGGTTCTAGGGGCGGGGCCTATGGTCGAGGGATGGGGCCGGAGTCCTGGGGGGCGTGACTCAAGGAGGCTGCGCCTCGGATCGCCCAGCGCTGGGGCCCTAGGGGCGGGGCCCACCATAGAGGCCTCACAATAGAGAGGGAGGGGCCGGGGCATTGTGGGGCGGGACTCAGAGGAGGAAGCTCCTGGAACCGCCGAACCTCTAGGCTCCCGCAGCGTGATGCCGGCACGAGAGGGGGCGGGGATATGTGGGCGGGGCCTAATGTAGAGGGGGCGGGACTCAGAGAGGGCATCTCCCCAGCAAAGCGCCGAGGCCCGGCTGCGAAAGTGAGGACGAGGGCGCGGGCAGTAGGATTTAGGGGTGAGGCCTATGGCGGGGGAAAGGCTGGGGTTCTCGGGGGCCGGACTGAGAGAGAGGTGTCTGGACGCTGAACGCTTGGGCGCGGCTTCGGGAATACAGACGCTGGCGGGGCGGGGACCGTGGTTTCTGAAATAGCAGGCGGGCGGGGACCCTCACCACTGCGCGGTCCGCCCACAGAGGAGAAGTCACAAGCGGAGCGTGCAAAGCCGCAGCCGGCGGTGCCCCCGCGGCCTAGCGCCGACCTCATCTTGCACCGGTGCAGCGAGAGCACCAAGCGGAAGCTGGCGTCTGCGGTCTGAGCCTGGTGCTGTCCCCTCTTCCCGCCCTTGGTCCCGGGAAGCCTCCTGTACATACGCGTCCTAGCGCCCGCCCCACCTGACTACCAGCCACCCTCAATAAATGTTGCTTGGAGTTGTGCAGGCTCTGTGCACTGTCTCTTCGTTTCTAGAATCAGCACTGGGGGCCTTGCGTCCTACTGGGGGAAGTTGCAAGAGCCAAGGTCAGGACTTGGCCAACAACAGGTTTGCACAGAGCTAAGGACCTCTGGTAGCGTAGTGGTTACGAATCGGGCTGCGAACCTAAAGGTCAGCGGTTCGAAACTACCAGCCGCTCCGCGGGAGAAAGATGAGGCTTTCTACTCGTGTCCTGTAAAGATTTACACCCTGTACAGGTTTGCTGTGAGTCGGAACCGACTCCACGGCCCATAACAACAAAGGGCAAAGAGGAACTCATCCCATTTCATCCTCCATCCTCTCTGGACAGAAGCAGTCTGGCCCATCGGGAGAGTCAGGGGTGGACAAGGTGGGCTGCAGTCGGTCAGGGTGGATTTGTGAACTAGTGTGTACTTCTTAGCAAGTGGTGGTGGTTTCGAGTTGATTCCGAATAGCAATCCTGTATAGGGTTTACAAGGTGCTCTGGGAGCTAGTGGGTGAGTTAGGCTGTTAACAACAAGGTCAGCAGTTCGAATCTACCAGCAGCTCCGCGGGAGAAAGATTAGACTTTCTGCTCCTGTAAAGATTAAAAGCCTCAGAAACCCTATGTTGTTAAGTGCCATCAATCAATAGCAGCCCTGTATAGGGTTCCAAAATGCGGATGTTCGGTTTGAACCGCCTAAAGGGTAGCTGTGAGTCAGAATCGACTCCAATGCACGTAACCATCGCCACCATCGTTGTTAAGTGCTGTCGAGTCGGTGTACCAACTCGTTGTTGTTATTAAGTGCCGTCGAGTCGGTTCCGACCCATAGCGACCCTGTACAGGGTTTCCGAGGGTGTAAATCTTTACTGGAGTAGAAAGCCTCATCTTTCTCCCGCAGAGCGGCTGGTAGTTTCGAACCGCTGACCTTAAGGTTCGCAGCCCAATTCGTAACCACTGTATTTCCAAGGAGCAACTGGTGAGCTAGAACTGCTGACCTTGCGGTCCAAACCGACCTTGCAGTCCAGCACACTAACCTACAGCACCATACCACTACCACCAAAGGGTTTCCAAAAGCTGCTGTTGGGTTGGAAATACAGACGTTTCGGTTAGCAGTCCAGTGCTTATCCTACAGGACTGGGCCAAAACCAGTGAGATCTTTTTATGGGGCGTATCTCTGCATATGCAGAGCAGAAGGTTACCGTTCACTGATGAATAGACCTTGTTATGTGCTGTGGAGTCAGTTCAGACTCATAATGACCCTGTACAGGGTTTCTGAGGCTGTAAATCTTTATGGAAGCAGAAAGCTTCCTGCAGACCAGCTGGTAGTTTCGAACTGCTGACTGTGAGATTAACAGCACGATTCATAACCACTACGCTACCAGAGCTCCTTACTGGCCTCAGAACCTATGCCAGTCTTTCCCAAAATGCAAAGCCACTGCACTGGGGCCCCAAACCTTGTCAAAGACGAAGCTCGTCCTGGTGGCTGTGGGTGAGAGTGAAAGCTGTGGAGCCAGGGTGAGGGTGCGCAAGGCTGGTCCCCCTGAGATAGAAACTTGACAAGAAAGACGTGCTTTTCAAGAGAACGGTGGGGGTGTGAAAGCGTTGAGAGGGACCTAGAACACTGTCCTGGAGTCTGCAACCGTGAGTGCATTTTTACATTGTGTTTGCCAGGAGTTCTTGGGTGGCACAAATGGTTAAGTGCTTGGTTGCTAACCAAGAGGCTGGTAGTTCAAATCCACTCAGAGGTGTCTCAAAAAGAAATGCCTGGTGATGTACTTCTGAAAAACCAGTCAGTGAAATCCTATGGTGTACATTCTACTCTGATACACATGGGGTTCACTGTGAGTTGGGATCTTTCCAATGGCCACTGGTTTGATGTCACTGATTTGCTGGAAAATTAAATCACAAGCCCACCTTGCTTGTTCAAAAATATCGTGGAAAAATTTCATGACTATTTTTTCCCTTTAAGCTTTTTTTTTTTTTTAAATTGTGGATTGGGTAAAGGTTTGCAGAGCAGAGCAGTTTTCCATTTAACAATTCATACAATCCCCACAATGTAACGTCACTCCTCCCACTTCCTCCCTTCACTTCCTGTTTCCATTCCTCCTTCTCTCCTAACCCTTCTGAACTCTGTCCGTTTGACCTCTCTAGTGTTACCAGTTTCCTTATAGACGTCTCTATTGTTTGGTTGAAAATTGAGTCACGAGGGTGTGTTCATTTCCAGACCTGAAGGATGACCAAGGGCCAGAGTCTTGGGGGTTCCATCAGCCAACAAGTAATTCTGTCATATACATTGTTATATGACTTGGAGTTTTGTTTCACATTTTTCTCCCACTTTATCTGAGGCCTTCTAATGAGATCAATTGGCGTGGTAGCCAGGCACCATCTAGTTCTTCTGGTCTCAGGAACATGGAGATGGTGTTCACATGATCCATTGGTCCATTGGTCTTATTGTTTCCATGTGTCTTCAATTTGCTTTACTCTTCCTTTCTCTGGAACAGGGGAAGACCATAGTTGTACTTTAGATGGCCGCTCAGGAGTTGTTGTTTTTAAAGTTTTTATTGTGAGGTTTACATGGGAAAACAAACACCAGCATTACATTCAGCCTATCGTATTTCGTTTCATTGCAATGATTATAACCAAAGGATATACCACACAGGCCTGCCCCCCAGCCACCAGCACACAGCCCTTCTCCCTCCCTGAGACCAGTGTCCCCAGCTGCTCTATCTGTCCACGTCGCTGTCTCTGTCTCCATCCCTGGCATCACTGCCTCTCTAGGTAGGGCCCCACTCTCCATTCTTCTCAATTGATGGTCCCAGGGGCCTCCGCTTCTGGGCTGCAAAATCAATCACTCTCCTTCTTTTGTCAAAAAACATCTACCTCTATATTTCCTACCCTTACAGTCAGTCCTCATGGCAATGATTCACTATTGTACCACACAAGTCTTAGCCCCATTTCCTTTCGCCAGCCCAGTCCTAACAGATTGAAAACCATCCAGTGGTGATTCTACCTTATCCTGTCCCGTCTGGAACTAGGCTCCCTCTTGAAAGCTTGTAAGCCAGTCACTTCTTGCCTTTATAGACCCCCCATTTTGTGTAGCCAGTGTCTCAGTTGCCCATCCCTGTCAACCCTGTGTACTGAGGGGGTGGGAGTGATCCTCGCTGTAAAGATTTGTTCCCTTTTTTGAGCTACTATATCCATACGTATAGGTAAAGATTATCAAATTGTAGCAGGTTTACTCTTTTTTTCCCCACTCTTCTTTCTTCTTCTAGTCAAGTTCTGATCATCCAGCCATCGAAGCCAGGTCAAGTAGGTATTATCTGCAAGTATGGGTGTTCCTATGCATCTCCCCTCACTTCATATCAGCTAGACACTTCACTCTCCGCTCTGGTCTTCCGTGGTCATGGAGTCCCCGGGTCTTGCCATACTGCTGGCCATCCAGGTCTCCACCCAGGTTCACAGGGGTCTATTGAATGTGGTCGGGCTTAGCTTGCAACTTCATTGCTGTTTTTTCCCCCTCTTCCCTTTATCAGTGACCAACGTGCTCACCAGCCAGACCACATGCCTGCTCATGTATTCCCCTTGAGTCTTAGTCTTGGGAGGGGGTTTGCTTTTAGGGGTCCTGACCACTTACTTTGATGGCTCCCAGGCGAACAGCTTACTTGTTCTTGTAGTAATCAATCAGACTGCCATTATTGTTTCAGATTTTTCCTGCCGGTCTTTCTTTCACGAAGTATCTTCTGTTCTTCTAGCCACTCCAGGCTGGTCTACTTGTCCTTTCTGGTGGAAATTTCCTACCTCAGTGGGCTCTGGATGGCCACTCATGAGCTTTTAAGACCCCAGTCACTACTCACCAAAGTTGGATGTACAACATTGTCTTTGTGGAATGTTAACGCCAATTAACCTAGATGTCCCCGCAAAGTATGGCCCAGAGCCCCCAGGCCCAGCAACTCATCCCCTCAAGGTATTTGGTTGTATCTAAAGAGTGGTAAGATCCCAGTATTTTTTAATTCCATGAACTTTTTGGAGTCCTTCATATAACAAAAGATTAAGAAAAATATTTTCAAGAGAAAGGAAAATATCTTCCATAATTTGTAGTCCATTCCAATGGTTTCCTGAACTTTCTCCATATTTCTGGTCCCACAGAGGAACACATAGGAGAACACAGAAGGGGAGTGGGGACAGGAAAAGGCCTCTAAAAGTATGTGTGTGAGTTCAACCACAATTATCTTGAGGTCGGGCAAAATGCCTGATCCTGTCCATCATCTCTAGGCCCGAGCAACCATGTCAGGCTGGTATTTTACTAAGAATCCCAGATGGCGAAAATGCAAGTAGGTGGCAGAGCCTTGAGGTGAACGCAGGTGTGTGTTTCTGGACCCATTACATTATCCTGACCCCACAGAGCCATGATCCGGGGTCAGAGTCGGGCCTCGTGGTAGATGCCCTGCTGTAGAGTTCTCAGGGGGACAGTATGTGTCTACCCTTCCCCTGCCTGCCCGGGATGGGAAGACAGAATCCTGGGACAAATGCAGTACATACCCTACCCCTGGGCCCTACTGGAAACCCACCACCACATCCCCCAGCTCCAGCCTGGGCCCCTCCACATCTCCTACCATGCCATTCTGGGGAGCTGCCTTTGCAGACATCCACCCCCCTCATTCAGCCATTTTCCACAGAGTCTAAGTTCAGTCCATGGCAGAATTAGTTAATGGGCACCCAACCCCAAACCATTCAGTCCCAATATACATTCCAGGGCCAAGAAGGAATCTGTGGCCCTACGGGTTGATTCAAAGGCAAGCATGGTGTTAGCGTAGCTGTTCTTGGCTGTTCTCCCACCATGGCGCCTCATAGACGTCAAGCTGAGGCCATACAACAGACACCTGTTGGGGACTTTGGAGTCATGTGCATCCTGTTTGCATCCTGACTTCTCCATCGACTGCGTGACTTTGGACACCTGTCAACTTGTCCAGGTGCTTGGTCCTCTCCACTAGCTCCCAGTGGAAACCAGTCTGGCTGGCATGCCTCCCTGGAACGGAGTCTCGGAGGTAGCCTGCAGTTAACCTCTCAGGACGGAACTGCACAGGGCTTGTCCATTGCCCTGTCTGAGGCCCACCTGAGGCTAAGGCCTTGTCCCTACACCTGGAGGCTGGTCTCCCCCTCCTGCCACTGCTTCCTGGAGAGCAGCCACCCCACCAGACCCTTCAGCCTTCCTCCCTCCACCCCAGGTAAATGAACTGACCTCGTCACCTAGCCTCACATCACACACACACACACACACACACACACACACACAAAGCACGCACAAGTTATAAGTTTGGGTCAACAATTCCAGTGACATTTTGAGATCAGGAACACAAATTAGTATGTGCCTTTAAAAGACATTTTTCTCTCGGAGGGAAAACGCTGCCAGGGGCCCACTGGAATGGGAGCTGACAGGAAGGACCCTGAGATAGTACGAGTAAAGGGCCACGGGCTCTTTCCCTCAGAACTCTGAGAACAGACACCGGAATATTACAGAGCTCACAGGCCTTCTGAAACTTCTATGTACAGGATAGACTCAAAGGTATGTATGCAAGGGGCTTCAAAAAGCTAGTGGAAAAATTCCACTATGCTTTCGTTTCATATTCCCACAATCTTCTTGACGCTCCCTTGTGCATGTATATGAAGGAGCCCTGGTGGCGCAGTGGTTAAGGTTGGTAGGTGAAACCCACACAGCAGCTCTGCAGGATGACCTGATGATCTGCTTCCATAGAGGACAGTTTAGAAAACCCTATGGGGTTGTTCCACGCCATCACATGGAGTCACTATGAGCAGAAAATCTGTTCAGTAGCACTGAGATAATGGCAACATGGATGTATGTAGAACTCTAGGCGGAGCCCTGATGGCACAGTGGTTAAAGAACTCCACTGCCAACCATAAGGCCAGCAGTTCAAACCCACCAGCTGCTCTTCAGGAGGAAGATGTGGCAGTTGGCTTCTGCAAAGATTTACCATCTTAGAAACCAGTTCTACTCAGTCTCACAGGGCTGCCGTGAGTCCAGACTGACTTGACGGCACTGGGTTTGAGTTCGCTCCAACAAGTGGTTTGCGCTGGACTTCGAATGGAAAAAGGGGCCCTGGTAGTGGAGTGGGTTATGAGCTGAGCTGCTCACTGAAAGGTCGGTAGTTTGAATCTACCAGCCACTCCAAGGGAGAAAAATGAGGCTTTTTGCTCTTGTAAAGATTTACAACCTCAGAAACTCTATGCAGGGTCGCTATGAGTCAGAACTGATTCCAAGGCACACAAGAATCACCACTAATGGAAACACTGGTGGTTCGAACCCATCCAGCGGTCTGGTAGAAGAAAATCCTGGTGGTCAGCTTCTGTAAAGGTGACCACCAAGAGAACACCATGGAGCAACTGTTCTCTGTGACACATGAAGTCATTGTGAGTCAGAACCGCACTGACAGCGTCGGGTGTGGTCTGTATGTCTGTGTTTATGTCTGTGTTTATGTCTGTGTTTATGTCTGTGTCTGTCTTCACCTATCTATCCATACATCTATGAGAGCAGAAAGTGAACAAAGAAAACAGAGGGGTAAAAGGTATGAAAATCTGAGCAAAGGGTATTTAGCGTTCTATTTTTTTAAATTTTGCAACTTTTCTGTAAATTTGCAATTATTTCTAAGGAAAACATTTACAACAACAACAGAAAAGAACTCAAGGGAGTTCTTAATCTAAAGGACTGATGGGCCACCAGAACCACAGCTTCCATGACCCTGGCACTAGCAGAACTAGAGGGTACCCAGTACCCCTACCAACCTCCCTGACTGGGACCACAACAGAGGGTCCTGGACAGAGTGGGAGAAAAATATAGAACAAAAAAGCCAAATGTCCAAAAAGACCAGACTAGTCTGACAGTGACTCTAAGACCCTGTAATTCCCCCTTTGACCTGTAACGGAAGCTATTCTGGGAGACCACCTTTCAGCCAAACAACAGACAGGCCCATAGAATAAACAATACCACTCTGGAGGTACATATCCCTTGGTTGTTGTTAAGTGCTGTGGAGTCAGTACCAACTCATAGTGCCCCTGTGCACAAAAGAACAAAACTGTGCCCAGTTCTGTGCCAAGCTTATAATCAATGCTATGCTTCAGCCCACGGCTGCTGCCACTGTGCCAATCTATCTTGTTGGGTGTCTCCCTCTCTTTCACTGACCCTCCACTTTAGCAAGCATGATGACCCTCTCCAGGTCCCTCCTGATATAATGTCTGAAGTCTGAGAGACAAAGTCTGACCATGCTGGCTTCTAAGGAACGTTCTGGCTGTATGTCTTCTGACACAGATTGGTTTGTTCTTCTGGCAGTCCCTGGTGCTTTTAATATTCTCCGCCAACACCATAACTCATGTTCCTTAGAACAATCAATTATAGAAAATCAAAAGGACAGTGTTTAACTGGAGGCAAAGATGCAAAGGCAAAAAGGGTACAAATTTGGACGAAAGGAAACGGAGGACCCAAGGCCGCAAGGCGAGACTTACCGACCTAGGTGAAGGATGCAAATCCGTGTCATGGAACACTTTACGTACCAACGATCAGATGGGAAAGGCATTTGCTCTCAAACTTTCACCTAAAAAGAACACCTCAGCTTAATGTGTCTTTTCTGGTCTGTGTTATTTGGTTTTGGGGTTTTCTATTTGAAGCTGGACCTTTCTAGGTTTATGTGGAAGACGAGACGGATAATACAGAAATACTCTTAGCATGTGGCTACATCGCCAACTGGTTCTCCTTAAGCATGAACTCGGAAACATGGGATCTCATGATGTAGCAGCAGGGCGTACCTATGATGCAAGCGTAGGGGGTCTAGAAGTGTGTGCATGCAGTCCCTGAAATGAATACACACACCTGTGTCTACTGCCTTGCCGACTGGTTTGAACTCTGAGGTGCCAACTTCAGCGCCAGCAGGTGGTGCACATGAAGGAAATGGGCCAGGTACAAGAAAGGGAAGTAACTAGAAACACAATGAAAATGTTCTTGGTTTTTACTGAACTATGGTGAAGCATAAAAGGTCATACAAACAGGTGTGTTACTGCAAATTACACTTCAAATTCGAAAGGAAAAACATTGGAAACCAGAAATAACTTCGCCATTCACTTTCCTCTCATAATCTCTTGAGACCAGAGGGTTGCCCTGGTTTTCCAGTTCTCCGGGCACTGCCAGCATTGCTCCTTCATCACGTTGTGATGTGCAGAACAGAGTCCCACTCTGAACTCTTCAGCTGGGAGTGATACTTGGTTTTACTCAGTTTCATGATAGAAAACAGCTGTTCGCAGATGTAGGTGCTGCCGAACATGGAGAGCATCTTGGCACAGTGGTGTTTATATTTCGGGTAGCTGCTCCAGAGGTGTTTGTAGAACTCTGGAATCCCCACCTTGTCGTACTTGGCTTTCAGAACTGTGTTGTACTGCAGATCAATCATCTCCATCTGAAGTTCTTCCTGCACTCGGTCGATCTCTATGGAGAAAGGAGAGCTGAACAGGGTCAGCTCGTTTTCATAGAGCTTGAAGTCAGACAGCCGTGTCTGAAACTCTGTCTTTAATTCTGCAATTTTGGGGATGTAGTTCAGGCCATCGCTGTCATTGCTGGAAACGGATTTCAGGGTGGGGAAGTGGGCCAAGTTGTTTCTTGTCAGGTGAGTTTCCCAAAGGCACAGTTTTGCTAGGAATGCCCGGATCAAGTCATACATTTGCGTAACGATTAGCGAATGTCCTTGGAGAGAGATGTTCAGAGTGTTCACATGCATTGTCATGTCCACCAAAAAAGCCAAGTCTTTGATCCAATCTTGAGAGCTCAGCTGAGGCACAGGCTTCCCTTTGGATGCCATGAATGAGTCAATTTCTTTCAAGGATTCAAAAAATCTCTTCAGCACCAACCCACGACTTAGCCACTTGATCTCTGTGTAGTATAAGAGGCTGCCATATTGGTTGTCCAGTTCATAAAGCAACGTCGTGAACTCCCTGTGGTTCAGTCCACGGGAGCATATCCAGTTCACAGTGCTTACCACCACGTCCATGATGTGATCCATCTTCAACTTCTGAGCACAGAGTGATTCCTGGTGGAGGATGCAACAGACGGACTTAAGATCGGCGCCCTTGCAGGTCATGGCCACCTTGGACTTCAGTTTTGTGACCAGCCCATCATTTACATTGACCATGGCAGGCGTACCAGTAGAGGCCACGCTTACTAATTTCGACCAGTCTATGTTAAACTTCTTCAGACTTTTCTCCACACGTAAAAATATCTCATTCCCTGATTTGGTACCTGTCATGGGCACCGTATCCAAAAGTTCTTCAGACACATCGAAGTTCTCATCGACACCACGGATGAAGATGGCCAACTGGACGGTGTTGTTTGTGTCTGTGATCTCATTGATGGCGATAGAATAGGCCACAAATGATTTGATTTTCTCACGCAACTTCTCCCATAAATTCCAAGCCACGTCTTCCACGGGCTGTACGGCAGTGCTTTCGGGCAGGCTCACGTTGGCAAATCCTTGGTTTTGCTCCACACTCACCGTTTCTGATCCTAAGAGGTATTCGGTGAGTCCCTTCTTGAGTTCGTGAAGCTTCTCGTCGCGCATCTTTTCGGTGTACTGGTCGAAGTGCTTGCTGTGGTTGGTTTGGTAATGGCGTCTCAGGTTGTACTCTTTGGACACGGACATGCTCTGCTTACAGATTAAACAGGTAGGGATATTCTGCACTTCCACGAAGAAGTATGCTCGCTCCCACTTTTCTTGGAACATACGGCCCTCTTGGTCTATCTTCCGCTTTCCCACTTTTGATAGAGACACAAGGATAAGACATACTTCACTTTAGAAATTAGTCAGGCACAAAAAGAGAAATACTGCATAGGACCGCTACTGTAAAAGACTAAGGGAAAGAATCCATACTAAAGGGGGGTGGGGGGG